TTTTTTTTTTTTTTTTTTTTTTTTTTTTTTTTTTTTTTTTTTTGCATGCGCTTTGCTGCTGCTCGGGTGTATCTGCAGCATCAGCAGCAACAGCAGCAACTGCAGCAAAAGGCAGCAGCCCTACAAACCATCAACACAATATTTAACTAATTAATTAATTATCTTTATTTTATTTTATTTATTTATTTCTTTTTATTTATTTTATTCCTTTTCTTCTTTATATAGAATTATTATCCTATGCCGTTGCCGTTGCTGCTGTTGCTGCTGTTGCTGCTGCTGCTGTTGCTGCTGCTGCTGCTGTATCTGCTACACTGAACCCAGCAGCAGCAACAGCAGCAACAGCAACAGCAGCAACACACCTGCCTATACACCCGAATAGATAGAAGAAGTTTTTAATTAAATAATTAAAAGACAACAATCATTAAAGAATAAAAAAAAGGAAAAACTATTAATTAATTAATTAATTAATTAATTAATTAACCAACTAATTAATTAATTAATTAATTAATTAATTAATTAATTAATTAATTAATTAATTATACTAATATTGCGGTGTATAAGCAGCTTATCTATACTCTTGTATTTATATACAAATAACCCGACAAACAGCAGCAGCAGCAGCAGCAGCAGATGCAGATGCAAAAGTTGTCAGCCTGCTGCTACTGTTAAACTGCTGCTACTAACTCCTGCTGCTGTTGCTGCTGCTGCTGCTGTTGCTGCTGCTGCTGTTGCTGCTGCTGCTGTTGCTGCTGCTGCTGCTAGCTGTTGCATGCATTTGTTAGTACAGTACTATTAAACTATCTTTATAATTGCAGTAATTATAATAAGTAATAAATAATAAATAATAAATAAATAATAAATAAATAATAAATAAATAATAAATAAATAATAAATAATAAATAATTAATAAACTACTTCTATTAATAATAATACTAATACTAATAATAAATAATAATTATATAAATAAATAATAAATAAATAATAAATAAATAATAAATAAATAATAAATAAATAATAAATAT